GATCAACCCTGACATCCCAATGGCTCCTGCTTGATACGGATCATTCCTTTGATCAAATGGTATCATCCAGGGGCTCTACTTTCATTTCTACCAACACAGCATGGCAAGCAATATTCGATCATGTTCTCTAACATCTTTTGTATCAACTACCTGTCTCTCACTCTCTTCAATTGTCTGTCTTTTTTACCCCCTCCTCTTTCCTAGTGTCATGTCTCGACAGCCCGTTTTGTCGAGTCAAGCTATGAGCTTGTGCATTCTGATTTTTGGTCATGGAGAATCATTTGGTATCGACCAACCCACTTGCTTCGACATGACCCACAACTTTCCTGTATCAAATGTTTCTACCGTTTTCTCATTTTTTTTGTTCCCTTTGTGCAAACTTCATACTGCTGAACACTCACCTACTACATCTGGATTTCTTATCCAGCCTCACTCTTTGACTGACTATATTTCATTACTTGCCCTTTCCACATCTTTTGGCTTAGCATACATTGTCTGGTTGTTTGGCATCATTGGGCCTCTTTTTGTTTGTATACATGGACGGGAGAAGCGACTTGTGCGCGTGAGCAGGTTCGAGCGACTTAATTCTGTTGGTGTTTTCCCACTGATGTTCTGCTTTTTCTTTTTTCCAAACGCATTCCTCTTATCTCATTGAGCTCGTCTTTCCTTTAGAAAATTGATAGAAGACGCAACAGCAAGTAGAGAATTGATACCATCATCGCCTTTTTTGTTCAATGAATGAATATCCTGATACCTTAGAGGTCTTGTCAGTATAGATTAGAAGCGTACGTAGATACCAAGTCCATGTGTAGCAATTGCTGACTACCCATAGAAAGATATTCAAGGTGATAAAAGATATCTATGGCAATCTACCTACTACTACTACTACTACTACTACTACTACTACTACTACTGCTACTGCTACTGCTACTGCTACTACTACTACTCATATTTTCAAAGGGACAGGGGTTATATTTCAGCCCACAAATCCAAACCATAATTCATTTCGCACCGACACTACTTTGCCTAAGTGGGTATTTCCATGTTCAAATTGAACAACCAGCGTAACCGAGCAAGGAAAAAGCATCAAAGTCAAGATGTAAGCAGGAAAACACCTCAATAGGGAAGAAAAAAAAAAATAGAAAAAGGTTCATCACAAGTTAGAGAAGAAAGAAAGAAGAAAGAAAAAGGGAGCATTAAAGAAGAAGAAGAAAGTAAAAAAAAAAAAAAGAAGTACGCCATAGGAACAGAAAAAAGGCACGTGAATTCGCGAAGATCGACCAGAGGGTGAATAGAAAGAACACAGATGACGCCATAGCAAGATGCATGAAAAGTTCATCCGTCCCGGTGCCATTCACGGACGAGTCGTTAGGATGTGAGTGAGAATGGGCTGGGGAAGAAAAGTAGAACACAAGAGTAAAAGTAGAAAGGAAAAACAAGAAGAAAAAAAAGACCGCCTGCCGCCTCCCGTGAACGCCACCTCGATCCAGTGATTCAATCATTTCTGGTAGTTGCTGTTAGAGACACTTTTGTTTTATTATGTTTTGGTGTTGTGAATTTGAAAGTTGTGGAGGAAGATAGATAGGTAAAGTGAGTGCTTTCGTGCACACCCATCTTCTGTGAGTTTCTCGTCTTTGTGAGAGATGCATCAAAGCTCAGAGCGAGCACCGAAAGTAAAGAGCGCGCGTGAAAGTCGTAACGGAAAATAGCGAAGTCGCGTTATTACTCGGCCTTGCCTTGGGTGACCTTAGCAGCCTGGATAGCGGACATCTTCTGGGTCCATCCTTGAGTGGGCTGCGGCTTCTTGACAGTGCGCAGGTCGTCAGTGGAGAATCCAGAGATACGCATATTGTACTTGCGCTCCAAAACAAGCTGAATATCGCGGATCTCGAGAGTCGAGGACGGGCGCAGTTTGGCAAGACGGCAGGCATCAGTGATCACATCGTCAACAAAGTCATCTGCCATTTGAAGGATGAACTGCACACAACGGCAATTAGACTTTTATTAATTCTAAAACGAATTCTGGGAGATAACGCGACTTACCTCTTCAGCATCAGGAGTGAGTCCTTCACCTTCACCACCGCCAGTAACCTGACGAACGAGAATATCCAGCATCTTCTTGCTCAGAACGCGCTGACCTTCACCCTCGAGCACGTAGCCAGGGTGTTTCTGAATTGCAGGCTGATTCATGACACCAACTGCGCCGTGACTGGGTCCGCCAGACAACGTGGGTCGAGCAGGAGCCATGTTGACGGGCTCTGGAGGAGGCACGTTCAAGTTCTTTGGGATAGCCATATTGATGCTACGCGCGTTAGTATCAGCGGAGCGGTTGGGGATGTAGCCCTGGGGGTGAGCGTGAGTGTTGGCCCCAGGCTGGGTAACGTTCTGCTGCTGGTTCATGTTGTTATTGTTGTTAACGTTGTTGTTAGAGTAGTTCTGCGCAGCTTGAGCCATGGCAGCCTGCTGAGACAAAGGACGAGGTTGGACCATGGTCTGAGCCCCAGGAGGAGTTGGAGTTGAACCGTCCACGTTGGGGACTTGAGTGAAGGTGACCTGTGAACCGGGTGGGCCCTGCTGTGACTGTGCCTGGACTTGGACCTGGGCCTGCGGCTGTTGCTGAGGTGCTTGCTGTGGCGGCTGCTGCTGCTGCTGGGGCACAGCAGAGACGGCAGGCGTGGCGCCCTGTGTGGTTGGCGTCTGACCAGGCTGAGAAGTTGAAGGCGACATCGCAGTCTGTCCCGCCTGGTTGCGTGCAGCGGAAACTGCCGAAGTTATGGTGTGAGGAGCCGGGGTAGGGGTCTGGCCTGGATGCATGGTGCCGGGGACACTTGGTGGACGGCCGTCGGCGGGGCCAGCAGCTGTACCGGGCGCAGCTTGACTTGGAGCTTGTTGAGGGTGCGCTTGAGCAGGAACATGTTGTTGGACACCAGCTCGCTGTTGCTGGGCCTTGAAGGTATCCTGCTGTTCCTTGAATTTGTTCAGGAAGTCGCTTCCCTCGCGGTAAAGCTTCTCCGCCGCAAGTTGCCGGTTCTTGAACTCCTGCACCTCCTCCTGGGTCATATTTCCCGCAGACTGACGCGTCGCAAACTGTTGTCTGAGATCCGCGATCCGCGCCCGTCCGATCTCCTGCTTCTGAAGCGCGATGCCATATCGTAGTTTCGCCTCGGGGAGCCAGGTCTGGGCCTGCTCGTTGCTGATGTTCGGAGGGAGGAAGAACTGCAGCGTGTTGACCTTCTGTTGGATCTGCGGGAGAAGCTGCGCGAAATTCTGCGGATTGACCGACTGCGACCGCTGGACTGGTTGACCTGGTTGCGCAGCGTTTGCCGCTTGCAATTGCTGGTGCTGCATTTGGCGGCTCTGCTGGAACGCGCGCATGCCTTTCATGAGATTCTGAGAGATATGGGTCAGTCTCGCATGAGCCTGTTGATACTCTGTAGTCTGCGGTTCCCGACTATTGAGATGCTCCCATAAGGTCCGCACAAGCTGAGTGTGCTGGGCTTTCTGCTGGTCGTTGAGATGGGGGAGTTTCTGGACTTGGTCGGTTCGGATCAGGTTGGAGTGCTGCGGCATCATCGGCTGGGCTGCAGGAGCTTGGGGTTGAGCAGCCTGGGGCTGTGCCTGTGAGTTGTCCATCCTGAAAATGATGGTGATTGGGCTGTGTTGTGGGGGGAAAGTGAAGACAGCGATGGGGGGAAGAGGTTGGATAACACTGTTGGGGATAGCGGAGAGCGGGTTTCTCAGGCACGTGTCCCGAGCGCCCCGACAGGCGTTGAAGAAGGGTAAAAGGGGATCGGAACGAAACGAGAGAAGATGAGACTAGGCCTAGGAGCAAAGGCTTTGACAAATCGCAGCTATATCTCGTCTGAGAGGGATGGAGGAGCGGAGCGGAGGGTTGATCGGGGGGGAAAGAAGTGAGAGATTTGGAGATGGTAATTGGGGGTCGGCGAGCCTGAGGCTTGGCACAAGTGCTCACTGCCGATTCTCAATAACGAGCAAATGAAGTGAGGAGAGCGAGTAACACTCAAGTTCCCTCTATAACACTTGCTCAACAATAGGTTCGGTGGAATTGAACAACGTTTGTCTTACGGATCACTTCGGCTTTTTTGGACACTCTCATACAGTGACGTATTGAATGAGAAACGTCTGAAGCAACACTTATCTAATGGTTCGGTCTCCTCTCCCGGATGGGGTGAAGCTCTGACGGTGCGATGAGGAGACGCTTTTATATACGTTGTTGCGTAACTAAAGTAAGGCTCATCGAGTAAGGGGCAGAGTGAATTGAGCTCCAGGGGGAAATGCCGTTTCTACAGGAGATGAAGCCAGGGCTAGGTGATAGTTACAACAGCACACTCAAATAAGGATAATTCATGATTCAACAAAGTAGCACAAAGTAGCACAAGACCGAATACCTTATACATTGATAAAGCCTCTAGGTGATATGGTATTTCTCCTTGGAGGACTCCGAGACACTCAATCGGTGCGGTGTGGTCATGCCTATACACAAACTGATCGACATCTTTGATGTGCAATGTACCAAATCCATTGCTCAAGTTAGCCGCGTAATGCCTGTATGAGACGCATTGAGATGATGCACCCAAAGGGCTAGCAAGAAGTAGCTAATTCTGGCAGCTCAGATCGCGGTACGTTCTCGGTAAAAGTTAATGGTGATATAAGCGCAAGCATGCAGTCTTGATGAGTCTCCGTGCCCGGACTTGGCCGGACCAGAAGCTGCAGAACATCTAGCGATATTGGCAAAACTCCAAAGCGGGGAGAAGCCGCACAGCATCCATCGAAGCTGGGATGGTTTGTCGGGCTAGACTTGGATTTCAGGGAGACTTTCTGTCGTACCAATGATAGCTATCTGGATCAGCCATAGTGGTAGTGGTGTCCACCGTATCTGTATGGAAACGGCCTGCCTTCTGAATATTGAGGCGACGTTGTGAGCGCCCAACATCACGGTCTCGCTGAAAATGGCGAATAGAATAGAGCTTCCCGAGCTCTCAACCCAGAAGCCCACCCAGGTCTCGTTCCATGCCGTGAACACGGGCTTCCAAAGTGCGTTTCTTTCTCTCCAGCTCGCGGATCTCCGCCATCTCTCGCTCAAGGTCAGCATCCGTAACATCAGCCACCTCGGGCGGTGTAGAATCGACGCCATCATATTCATCAAAGTCATCTCCGTAGGAGTGGCTCATCTTTTCCAACTCTGCAGTGTTTCTGGCCACACGTGCCTCCAATTCGTTGATGGAACCCGAAATCAGCTCGTGACGATAACGTAGACTGGCAATTTTTTCATGTGCACCAGCGACAGGACTTTGCGGGTAGTCAGTAATCGTAAGCATGACACGGCACTCAAGGAGGAAAAAATGAGCGTACTAGACATTGCAGAGAATCTCTGCGCCCTGGAGTAAAACGTCGACATTGACTTCACCACGACCCCTACTGGACGTGCCAGCGGATCGCTTGATCTCCTCCATCATATCGGCACCCAGGACCCTTGCGACAGCTGATTGACTCTTGTTATCTCTAGCGGAATAAATCCGACTTGCCATGGACTCGCCCTCTGAATCCTGCGCAAACTGCGTGCCACGTCGGGTGGGACGTCGCTGGGAGCCGACAGATTTGACGGAAGGATCAGATTGGAAGAGGGCCCGTTCATGAGCCTCCGTGTCTCGAATTAAGGAGGTAATATCGTGGGGGCCTAGCAGCGCATTGGTGAAGATCCGCGGTTGGGGAAACCTGGGGCAGAAGCAATCAATGCCGGGTACGAAGCAAGGTGAGAGGGGGATGCATACGGTAGCTCCGCAATGGCATTAGAAGACAATGCGATCTGCTCTAAATGACTTTCAAGAAGCGACATTTTTTCTTTCCTATTGTCTGCGTCGAGTGGGGTGGGACTGAAGGATCTTGTGCTTCAGTGAGTGAGTTTGTTATCGCTGCGGGGGGATAGAAACAACAATCAATGACTAGACTAGCAAGCAGCTAGTAAATACATTGACTGGTCAAAGCAACACGGGTAAACACGCCAAGCAGAGCTTCCCAGCTGTTTCTGCCTCAGGCGGTCTGAAACTGGCCGGGAATGAGGATTTGGTGGCAACGCAACCCCGAACAACTAACTGACTGCCTGCGACCGAAATTCTCCAGCAATTCGGACCTTCTTCTTCTCTACCAAGCAATCGGATTGAACCCCTTCCCACGCAGCCATTGTCTCTTTTCCGAACCACCAACCAATTTCTCTTGCTCCTCTATCCAGACGTGACAGAAACCCGACAGCGCGTCACGCCGGTCTCACAGCTGACCGATTGCTCCGTTGGTAAGCTCGAACCCCCAACTGGCCCGACACTGACTAAGCTCCCTGTGCTGGTTCTCTCGCTGTCCATCCAGAGCCAGCCTTGACATCACATCACCACCTCATCAACCATCTGCTCCCAAACCTCAACCCAATCCCCCATCCTTCATCATCCCCCGCCCCGCATCTTGGTCCTTTTGGCTTCGCTCGCTGTGACTCTTGTCCTTTTCATTCCTGCATCCCCGGACTCTGGATAGTGGTCTTTCATCCAAATACCCCCTTCCTGTGTCTCCGGTACCGCGGTCCCCAGTGCTCACCTGAGCTCCGTAGCTGGAAAAAGAGAAACAGACAAGAACCTCCAACGAAAGATGCCGGCTGAAAGGCGCTCTCTGAGATCGAACAGCAAGTCAGATACCTCTTCATCTGCTAACGGTGAGAAGGGACGCTCCACTTCGCAGAGCTCTAGTTCCAACAAAGATAAGCCGGCGCCTACCCGCGCTGCTGCCAACAAGGCCAAAGCTGCCTCTACCACGAAAGGCGCCTCGTCGAATAATACTGCCAATTCCGGAATGGGTGAGCAGCGTGATCAGCCGCGTGCCAACGGGTCCGACCCGACGGAGAATGGCGTGAATGGCTCGGAAGATGTTGAGATGGGAGAGGATACGGCAGGTGGGCCTACATCCTCATTCAACGCCAGTCAAGACCGCAAGGGTGACGAGAAGATGACTGTTGTAGTGCCCCCTACCAAGGGTTCCAGGTTATCCGGCGAGAAAGGAACGGATAAAGAAGGCGACGTCGCCATGGAGGGTGCTGAGGGCGAGGATGCCGAGCCCGAGGTTGATCCCAAGACCAAGGCCATCCAAGGTTGGTTTTATTTGTTCTGGCGTTTATTCGCCCAGCGCCCTGTACTAATGCCGCCATGCGTTTCTTGTAGACATCAAGACCAACTTTACCCTCCTCGAACGAGCCGTTACCCACTTCGACCCCAGATTCACCCTCCGCGTCCTGCGCTCGATATCGTCCATGCGCAAACACATCACGGGTGATGTGCTAGCAGAAGTTATCGAGGAGACTTACTCATCGTCAAGTGTTACCGCTTCATTCTTGTTGAATGCTCTTGACCAAGCAGGTGCCCTGGGCGGTGCTCGGTCCAGCGCGAAGATGGAAATTGAGTCGGAGAAGACCAAGTCTGCTCCCAAGGAGACCCTGCCCGAGGTTGATATCTACATGTCTATCCTCGTCCAGATCTTCTTGTATGACAAGAAGGAGATTCAGCTGGGTGCCAAGTTCTCGGCGAACCTGATTGAGCGTCTGCGGACGCTTAATCGCCGTACCCTTGACTCTCTGGCAGCTCGTGTCTACTTCTACTACTCTCTCTTCTATGAGCAGATTGCTCCCCTTCCCCCATCGCCTGCTGCTACCGTGACTAAGATTCGCCAGCCCTTGCTCGCAGCCCTGCGGACGGCAGTGCTTCGCAAGGATGTAGACACCCAGGCTACCGTGATGACGCTACTGCTGCGCAACTACCTATCTACGTCTCACATCTCGCAGGCAGACCTTCTCATTTCGCACAACAAATTCCCCCCATCGGCGTCCAACAACCAGATCGCCCGGTACCTCTACTACCTGGGTCGCATCCGGGCCATTCAGTTGCAGTACACCGATGCCCATGGGCACTTGATCGGTGCCACTCGCAAGTCGCCTTCCAGTCACAGTGCGCGTGGTTTCTACCAGGCTTCTCATAAACTGCTCGTCGTGGTGGAGCTCCTCATGGGTGACATTCCCGACCGGGCCATTTTCCGACAGCCCGCTCTTGAGCGCGCCATGCACCCCTACTTCCTCCTTGTTCAAGCTGTCAGTGTGGGTGACCTGGATGGGTTCCTCAACATCGTCAACACCCACAGTGCGACGTTCCGCAAGGACGGTACGTACACTCTTATCCTGCGTCTGCGCCAGAACGTTATCAAGACCGGCATTCGCATGATGTCTCTCTCCTACTCTCGCATTTCGCTCCGGGATATTTGCCTGCGTCTTGGACTGGACAGCGAGGAGTCTGCCGAGTACATTGTGGCCAAGGCTATCCGTGACGGTGTGATCGAGGCCAGCTTGGACCACGAGCACGGATTCATGAAGAGCAAGGAAGTGGGAGACATCTATGCGACCAGGGAACCCGGAGAAGTGTTCCATGAGCGCATTAGAGCTTGCTTGAGTCTTCACGACGAAAGCGTCAAGGTGAGTTTCTACGAGAATATATCTTCGTGTTCTACACAGAGTTCTCAGCTAACTATTCTGCCAATAGGCCATGCGGTTCCCCATGAACCAACACCGTCTGGAATTAAAGAGTGCGCAGGAGGCACGGGAGCGTGAGCGGGAGTTGGCCAAGGAGATCCAGGAAGGAGACATGGATGACGAGGATGCCGGCGGCGATTTCGATGCAATCTAGTGGGTGTGAAGTTATAAGCATACATCAGCTTTTCGTTTGTAATCCTGTTATATCCCGTCCCGTTGGGGTTCAAGAACGGAGGGAAGCTTTTCAACAATGTGTTCTTATTTGCAGTGTCGTCATTCGGGTGTGTATGCAGCAATGGGTAGGATTGAGCTTCGCCGGCGTGATTTCCCATGTCTCTTATGTGTCATTGGACCGGCTCCTTTGTACTGTTGCACAGGTGGTTTCTGCTGTAGATGCTGTTCGGCCTGCCGAGTTTGTCTCTTGCGGGGCGGAGGAGAAGCGTGACCTTGGGTTTCTGTTGTAATTTCCCATCATAATAGATCAGAAAACCCTTGCAGCCATGAACATGTGAACTGGATTGAAATTAATGTCTGTGATATCGTGTCTGAAATACTGAGTAAATACTGTAGTAGGGTGAGGTGTGGTGGAAGACGGAAGGACGATACAGGGAGAGAACTGGATGCGGCAGGGACGGGCCCAGAGCCCCGACCCGGCCCGAGGCAACCTCCGTCTCGAAATCTTCGGCGGGTGTTACTTGCGCCTCATCCATCCATCCAGGCACTGGTGCGGCCCCGGACCTGGCCCGGCTTTCAATCATCCTCTTTCCCGGTATTATGATCTTAGCATCTTGTTTGACTCAATTTTAGCTACTTTCCTCACACATCCCCCGAAAATGAAAGCACGCACGGTGCCGGCATCCGGGCTGGTACTCTCGTCACGCGTCACGTCTCCCACGATAGTTTGCTGGCAATGCCTCCGGAATGAATTGGTTGCGAACCAATTCCAGCTTCAATCACGAAAGTATCATCCCACAAAACGTAACAATGTATCGCCGTTCGGTGCCGCCGTCTCCGCAGCTCAGACCATCTTCAAAGGCCTACCCAAGGCACCTCCGGGCATCTCCGTCGACCCATTGCGGATGGTAGGAAAGGAACTCAAATTCTTGACGAAGAACCTCCGGCAGCTGCTCGGGTCCGGCCATCCTACACTGGACAAGGTGGCCAAATATTACACCCGCAGTGAGGGTAAACACATGCGGCCGCTTCTGGTGCTGCTGATGTCTCAGGCGACGGCGCTGTGTCCCCGGAAGGCGGGCACGGACAACAATTCCGCAACAGTGAACGACCCAATCAGCTCGCCCTCAATCCTCGTCGATAAGAATCCGGACTTGGATGTGCTCTCATCCGGTAGTGCAGATGCGCCGTACGACTTTGCCGGCGACAAGGACATCCTGCCCACCCAGCGGCGGCTTGCTGAAATCACCGAATTGATCCACACTGCGTCTCTCCTGCACGACGACGTCATCGATAATGCTGAGTCCCGCCGTTCTTTAACGTCCGCCAACCTTCAGTTCGGAAACAAGATGGCCGTTTTGGCGGGAGACTTCATGCTGGGTCGGGCCTCCGTCGCTCTCGCGCGGCTGAGGGACCCAGAGGTCATTGAGCTGATGTCGACTGTCATTACCAACCTCGTTGAGGGCGAGTTCATGCAGTTGAAGAACACCGCTGCGGATGAGAAGAACCCCGTTTTCACGGACGACACCCTTTCGTACTACCTGCAGAAGACATACCTGAAGACGGGTAGCTTGATCAGCAAGTCCTGCCGGTCGACTGCCGTGTTGGGTCACAGCGCTCCCGAGGTTGTCGAAGCCTCCTACCAGTACGGACGTAACTTGGGACTGGCGTTCCAGCTTGTGGACGATATGCTGGACTATACCGTGACCGAGGCTGAATTGGGCAAGCCAGCTGGCGCGGACCTGGAGCTCGGTCTTGCTACGGCCCCGCTGCTCTTTGCCTGGAAGCAGTTCCCAGAGCTTGGCCCGTTGGTTGGTCGGAAGTTCAGCCAGCCCGGCGATGTTCAGAAGGTAATGCGACCCTGATTATAGCAACCAAGCTTTGTCACTAACATTAAATGATCACTAGGCTCGGGAACTCGTTTTCAAGGCCGACGGTGTTGAACAGACCCGTATCCTGGCTCAGGAGTATGCGGATAAGGCTGTCGCTGCGATCTCCGACTTCCCCGACAGCGACGCCAAGGCTGGATTGGCCCAGATGTGCGAGAAGACCATGAAGCGGAGAAAGTGAGACGTTTGAGCGATGATCCATCAGCGTTGCTTTGGGATTGGCGTTCATCTGAGTCTCCCCTTGTTGAAATTGGGCGCTACACAATGCCCCTGTACCACTACCTTCTCTGTATTATTGCGAGTCTGCTGGTGTAGACCTTCTGTATTATTGATAGAGAGCCTAGACCCAAGGACTATTCATAACACAATCTCATTTTCGGTTGCATTGGTAATAGCGTCTCTTCATCCTGATATTCGAAATCGCGAGCATGAGCTATGATGGGCATCACTCATGTAGATTAGCGAACGACTAACCATGCTCACGTGTATGTACTTGCGCTTCCTATCAACATCAGAACCTACCGGAGAGTTTCTCCACCCACAATATCTCATGATATATGCCGGCGGCCGAAGTAATCAGTCTCACCGAATGCAGGGATCTACTTGTCCTTTTTGCTTTTGATTTACTTGGTGTTCACAATGGGGAGAGAAATATCAACCACGTTTGTTGACCCTAAAGCTATCCTTGCTATCGCTAGGACTGACCTCTTCTACACGCTTCAGGTGTCTTCACTAGCCGACAAAATTACACAGGTAAAAGGTTCCATCTCCAGACTACTCAGTTCAACTACTCGTGGTAAGCTACGCTGCTTCACGGTTCGTGCTTTAGCCTTTATACACCGAACAATTAAACCATGACTAGTACAATGTGAGATTGTGATGATCTTCACCTAGTAGATCTGAATGAACAGCAGCTTGAAGTATTGAGTTCGTGACGCTGGCCTAGCATATTACTCTCCGATGCTCTCTTTACCCGGGCAATAGTATGCTTGACTTACAGACTGCGTTCTCAGGAAGCTACAGACCATGGCTTTTCAAATACCATTTTGAACGAATATACATGAGCAGCAGACTGTTTCCTGTTATATAAAGAGTGAACTGCACCGAAAATATTGCATCTGACAAATGAGTCAAGAGACTGATCCTATGGCAAGGGTTCAGTCTACATTGCGGTGAACCCGCCTGAACTACGTACGCAAGACATAATGCTGCGAGAGGAAAACGCTGACGTGTCCAGTAAACAACTTTCTCAGAAAGGGCAAGAATCATCGCATATGCATTTAGAAATGCTGTGAGCGCGAACGTCTCCTCTCGAGCTCAACCTTTTGTACTACGAGGACTAACTATGGCGACTATGCGAAAGCTGACTATCTCTCGAGACCTGCACTGCATTACAGCTACATGAACCACTCTCTATTCACCACACAAGATCGACGTCGTGAAAACCACGTCATTTCAGAAATACTGCAGACGGTATTAATAGTTGACAATATGGCGGGACCGAGATTGATTAAAGCAACAGAGTTTAGTTGCACCTAACCTAATAATAACAAGCCGGGGAAGCTTCTCCGCCGCGTTGGCGCGCTGCCGGAACCCTAATTCTATAGCGTCAACCAATGCAGGCGCAGGCGGCCCGGATCTATTGACCTGGTCTATGGATCAAATGCCATTTTGAACAGTGAACAGCTACCGAGCTTGCGAACGGCAACAAGACAGTATGTCATGGCTTGAGCTTGCGTGGCAGCTGCCCACTTTCTGTTCTTCTCAGTAGTAACACAATCCTCTTGTACAATAAAACTGCTTTCGCATCGCCGAAAGCAATTCAGCTGTATAGCTGCCAGATACCTCGCTTCTGTGTATTTGAAGTAACGGTGTCATTTATAATTCCCCCCCGGGACCGTGAAATTGTTCGTCTGATATTAGGGCACGTTCTGCAATGGCTGAAAAAGAAGGCGCAATAAACACTCATCCCAACGAAACCCTGAATTCCCAAAGCCCATCATCTAGAGCTTTGACAGAGTTACCACCATCTGAACAAGAGCCTAATCTGGTAAGCTATCCTACAACACAAAGTTGGAGCGCTGTACCTAACATCTAAGGTGACATGGAATGGTCCCGAGGACCCGGGCCATCCAAGGAATTGGCCGTCGGGCAAGAAATGGGCGACCCTCGTCCCCATGTCACTGTTCACTTTTCTAACTTCCATGAGCTCGGCTATAATGGCTCCCGCCCTGGATAAAATTCAGCAGGACCTCCATTTTTCGTCCAGTACAATGAGCGTTATATCCCTGTCTGTTTACTTGCTGGGCGTGGCAGTCGTTCCCTTGTTTACGGCGCCTTTGTCAGAGATCTTTGGAAGGATGATAGTCCTTCAGGCTACTGATATACTCTTCATCGTCTTCAATACCCTATGTGGAATTGCAAGAACCCCAAACCAGCTGATCGGCCTCCGCTTTTTAGCTGGCCTAGGCGGCGCAGGAGCTAACACGGTACGTAACCATTTCGGTTCATCACGCCTCCAATACCGGCCCTAGTACTGATCACCAAAGATGGGCGCTGGCCTCACCACCGATATATTTGAGCCTAACAAGCGTGGTAGCGCTCTGTCTCTCTATCTCCTCGCCCCTTCGCTCGGCATGACGGTCGGCCCCATCGCTGGCGGTTTTCTCGTCCAATATACGGCGTGGCCATGGTGCTTCTATCTTGTATCCCTCGTGGCTGGCGCGGTGCAAGTTTTTGGCCTGCCCTTCTTTCGCGAAACCTATGCGCCAGTTCTGCCGCAAAGAAGGTGCAAGCGTCTACGGGAAACAACCAAGAACCTAAACCTGTACAGGCACCACGACAGCGTCTCCCTGCCCCATCTACTGCGACTTAGCCTTGTTCGACCTACCAAGTTGATTACCACACAACCGGTGGTGCAAGTCTGGAGTTTGTATTGTGCGTACATCTACGGCATCCTATACCTACTCATTTCGAGTTTTCCCAATGTGTGGACAGATATATACGGAGAATCAGTGTCTATCGGCTCCCTCAACTACATCTCCTTATTCTTGGGTATGGCCTTTGCTTCGCAGGTTGGAATGCGTCTCGCCAACCGGTCTTATAGAAAACTGTGCAGTCAGCATGATGGACATGGCTTGCCCGAGTTTCGCCTGCCGGCCCTGATGATCGGTGCGGTGATTATTCCTATCGGGCTTCTGTGGTATGGATGGAGTGCTCGACCAAATGTCCACTGGATAATGCCGTACGAATAACACCTTCCAGACCAAGTTGTATCATAGATTTACTGACCATTACAGGAATATCGGCGCAGCCATTTACGGTGCCGGTGCGTTACAGGAAATCCAATGCATAGTAGGGTACATTATGGATACATACCCCAAGTATGCTTCCAGTGCGGTAGCGGCGGTTATGTTCGTTCGAAGTCTGCTTTCCTTTGCGTTGCCACTAGTCGCGCCGAGGCTGTGAGTGCGGTTGATACATCTCAAGTCTGTTCCATGCTGATCAAGCTAGGTATGGCAATCTCGGCCTCGGATGGGGGAATACACTCCTGGCTTTGATCGCGGTGGTGGTGGGAATCCCGGCGCCGATTTTGTTGAAACGATACGGGGTGGCGCTGCGGCGACGAAGTCCATATGCGCGGGATGACTAGCTTCTGAAGAAGTACAGTGATTTGGAGGTAAATGAGTGATATCAAACTCAACCTCTTTTCCTGGCAGTTGACATCAAATAAAATGAAATACATTGATTCTGAGTACTAGCGCCTGAGTGCAAACAATCCCACAGGAACAAAAGCGGCCATCCGGCATCAACTATCCACCCCATCTGAACTAGAATCAACTATCATGCCATAACCTTATCCAATAACTGCCTCAACTCCTCTGCCACAAATCCCGGATTTCCCAGTTGCACCACATGTCCAGCCCCCTCAGCAACAAGTGGTCCCCTCCCTCTCTCCTCATCTGTAATACCCAATAATCCCCGATGATACCTCTCCCAAAACGGCGTGACATACACCTCAAACACCCTTCCAGACACCTTCCCCCCGGTCATTCTCACACTCTCCTCAGCAAATGCCTTTCCATCATGTCCAATGACCGTGACCCAAGGCCCCCTTCCAGCATCAGGCCCCATTAGCCTTGGTCCATCACTCTTAGGCAACAACTCCGCCAGGTTCCGTCTCGACAGGCCCTCCTTACTTCCGACAGACGGATGAAAGACCTTTCCTGCAATAGCACGCGCCATAATCAAATCTTGAGCGGAGATGCCATCCTCCCCCTGCGGCGGGACAAAGTCCGGTGCAGTAGGATCCGGAATTACAGACACGAAATCCGAGTTGGCGAGGATACTGTCGAGCAGGAGGAGGGCGGAGACAGTGCCCGGGTACGTTTGGGCATAGAGCCGAGCAAGAGCGCAGCCGAGGGAGTTTCCTACTAGGATTAGGTTCAGATCTGAGGGGGCCGTTGATTTATGGAGGTGGAGTCTGGCAATCTGCTGGATGAGTTGGTGGAGGTCGTCCAGGGCAGAGAGGATGTCGTGCCCGTGGCTTGGGTCTGTGGCATTCTGGTCGGTTGGGTCCCGGGAGAGAGTCTGTCCTTGGCCGTAGCGGTCGTAGGTGAGGATGGCGGGGAGATTGTGTGGGTGGTTGAATTGGAGGTGGTGGATGATGGGGATCCAGGAGGTTTGGGGGGCTGTGAGGCCGTTGAGGAAGACGATGAGGGTTTTGTTGGAGGATAGGCCAGATGGGGGGTGGAAGGTATAGCTTAGTTGGGCAGTGGGCTTGGTGGGGAGGGTTATGAGGTTGGTTTCTGTAGTTGTTGCCATTGTGTCTTGGTGGTTGGTGGGAGGTATATGGGGAAAGGTATAAATTATGAGATTCTTTGAAGAAAAAAGAAGAAGAATAGAGTTATTGAACTATAGAAAATGATGTTCTCATGATGGAGTAGATGAGAGAAAAATGGAGAGGAAGATTGAGGTTTATATATTTGGCTGATGCCATTCAGCTAGTACTGTATATTAGACGTGATATCTATACTAAAAGCGATAGAGGATGGCTCAGCCTGAGGTAGGGCCCGCCCGGAACGAGTGGGCCAATGAGGGTGCTTGTACGCGGGAAAGTATGACAGCCCTAAGGCTGAGCTGCTGGACAGCTTCACATCAGCTCATTGGTGGAGTTGCTTGATCTCGTATAAATCCTCTTAAAGTAATAGTAAGGCCACTATTATTGTATTGCCCATATGAAACACGAATAATATACACATCGATTGAATTACTGAGAGGCTGCTACCAAGTACGGAGTACTGTAGTGTTGGTAAAACTGGGCCTCGGTAACATCCTGCAACACGATGTTACTTTGGCGCGCACTAGTAATTACCTAACGGTAATGATCATTGGAAGGATGACTTCTGCCTTTCTTGACTGCCGTTCCTTGGCTGTTGCCCGTCTTTCAAAGCATAATGGGTATATGAGCCATAAATGTAACATGATCAAGGATGTCCCTGATGACGCGATAAGCTCGTGTGCAAGAAGAAGCCAGGATTAAGGTTCCGTGGAAACCAATTGCGTCCCTAATACCTAATAGTTACGATTATGTTGGGAAAACAAACAAACAAAAAGTTAACTTAGTTGCGATAGCTGCATGTGATCCAACACTTGTACTTTGCTTTTCCTCTTCCAGTCCTGCATGAAGCAAGTCAATCGTGTGTATTAAATCTCCGTGATGAACTGGCAACTTCTTGTATGCTAACAAAGTGGTATCTATCGAGTGCCGATAAGCTACACAAACGATCTGCAGGCCCCGGGCGGATCACGGGACCATCAGGTGGTGAGGAACGCGGGGCAACGTTCTTCCCGGACCCACGGTATTCCGTCATGATCGATGGGAAAGTAGTACTGTAGTAGTAGTTCCCAAGTACTCCGCTGGTCACTAACGGGTGTTGTTGCCTACCAGCTAGCGACCTTTTAGTGACTTGTGAAAGAACGTCCGGAAACCGCGGAGTTCCAAGGACTTGTCTGCTTCCCCAACTAGGAAAGGTGCTACTGTCACTCTGCAACAATCCACCTCCAACTTACAACATCATCTAAACTTGGTTGTTCCCTTCCTTCATCTCCCCCTTGCCCTTCCTCCCTAATTTATCTCCTTCACCCATACTCTCCAGGTATACTATACACTTGTCCTTTCGCTTCCCCTTCTCCCCCACCCTTCTCTCCCTTTTATACATTCGAGCTGGTCCTCATTTTATCTTCCCTTCCCCTCCAGGTTCGAACACCTTCGCTGCCTGCCGCCTGCCTGCCAGCCTGCCACTTGGTCTTTCGTTTTTTGAGCCTCATGATGATGGAGGTGCTGTTAACGCTGGCTATTTGAACGTCCGGCTCCCCACCCCAATGGGTTCCTACGCCAGCTTTCTCTTCATATACGTCCTCGGCGGACTTACCTTCCTCCCGCTAGTCCTGTCGCTGGTCGCTCTCTTCATCTATCTGACCCTCCCGACTGCCGCTCCGTCCCCGCCGCTCTCCTCCGATCAGAAATCATGCCATCCCCAATCTTCTTCGACAACTCTGCGCCGTCCGACCGATGATCATTACAGTCTTAAATCTGGAACGGATGAGTTGGCCGAGAAGTTTCATCGTACCCATGACTCCGATGTCGCCGCTGGATATTTCGCCGTCTGTCGTGAATATGTTCCCGGTGGTGTTAATGGGCGGCCGCCCGAGAGGACCACCCCGGCTGGGGAGGTGATCGCCGCGGAGAGTCCGAGCGTGTATCAGGCTATGTATAGGAGTTTGTTCGATCGGAAGCAGGCGCCGACGATCGAGCCGGCTAAGAATAATCCCAAGAATGGGAAGCGGGCGCGTAATGTTTTCTATATTGTTCTTCGGTATTTTCGATCCTTCTCCGCCTCCGCTTAATTCCTCTTTGTTCCGCACATAGGAAACTCGGCTGATGCTAATGATTGACACAAATTAGACATGGCCATCTCATGCTCTACGATAATGCGAACCAGGTGGAAGTCCGATATGTCATTTCGCTTGCCCACCACGATGTCAGTATACATGGTGGAGAGGGCCCGATCCCAGAAGGAGAACTGTGGCTCAAGAGAAACGCCATCTGCCTCTCGCGACGACTGGAGTCGCTGGGTGATCTTGGAGGACCTACGCCGCCTTTCTTTCTCTTCTCCGAGAACCTGTCCGAAAAGGAGGACTTCTATTTCGCCATGCTCCAGAATCAGGCTCGCATGTGGAACTCTCCAGATGCTCCTCCCAAGCATCAGACGTTTGATGTCAAACACATCGTCACCCTGGTTCAGCGCTTGCATTCGTCTGAGGAGCAACTGCAAACGCGATGGATCAACGCGGTGCTGGGCAGGTTGTTCCTTGCCATGTACAAGACACCGGAAATGGAGGAGTTCATTCGGAAGAAGGTCACCAAGAAGATCTCCCGCGTCAACAAGCCCAACTTCATCAGCAAGATTGGTCTCCAAAAAATTGACATGGGGGAAGGTGCGCCCTTTATCATCAACCCTAGGCTCAAGGACTTGACAGTCGACGGCAACTGTTGCGTAGAGACGGATGTCCAGTATACAGGCAACTTCCGCCTGGAGATCTCGGCAACCGTGCGTATCGACTTGGGCCAGCGCTTCAAGGCTAGGGAAGTCGACATCGTCCTGGCGGTTGTGCTGAAGAAGCTGGAGGGCCATTTGCTGATCCGCTTCAAGCCTCCTCCGAGTAACAGAATCTGGATATCCTTTGAATCCATGCCCGATATGGATATGGACATTGAACCAATTGTCAGCTCCAAGCAGATCACTTACGGCATAATTCTGCGTACCATTGAGAGTCGCATCCGGGAAACTGTTGCGGAGAGTCTGGTGCAGCCGTTTTGGGACGACATCCCCTTCATGGACACTGAATCACAGCGATTCCGCGGTGGTATCTGGGAGCGAGAGATACCAAAACCTGATACAAAAGCAGATATTCCCGATGAGTCCGGTGCTCAGGATCAGCCCTCGGGTAGCACCAAAGAGGAGTCGATTGAAGTACTGAAGATCAAGGACGATCGCACCATGAGCGCCCCTGCGCTTGCCGAATCTGGCAATGGCACCTTAAAAGCCCGCAAGAATTCCAAGGCCTCCATAGGAGATTTGGAGAATATCAGTCCAAGCGCTCTATCTTCCGCGGTGGACAAATTCGGCACCTCGCCCCCACGGGTAATTCGGTCTCAGACCTTCTCTAATGCCGCCGATCCCGTCCTGACAGCTGACCATGGGAAGATGGACCGGGTTATGTCCGAAAACAAGAGTGAAGAAAAGAGCTATGCCACCAGTGCTATGATTGAAATATCTAACCGGTCAGCTCCTGGATCGCCAGAAAAGACTCCTGCAAGCTCTCCTCCGGTTGCTAGTCATATGGTCCCGGATAGTGTATCCCAGAGTCGGGATCCGTCCATTATCGAATCATCCGGGAGCTTCGATGAATCTGCAAGCGAGTTTCCTACCCGGCCGCCCTCTATTCACCGTGGAAGCGATTCATCGAACAACCTCCGGGGTATGGAGAGTGGTTCTACCGCATCCCTGGCGAGCAACAAGTCGCGACGTCGCAGCACACTCGAAACATTGACCCGGTCGATTACCTCTGCCACTCCCTCAGAGGGTAAATCCCCTGGCCCGCTAAATACGGCCACCTCCGTGGCCAAGAAGTGGGGATGGAACATGTTCGGCAGAGGCGAGTCTAGCTCCGCTCACGATATGTCTCGTCCTGCGGGCACTCCGGAGCAGCCGATAGGGCGTGGACACCCACTCCCACCCCCAGGGACCCCATTGCCGCGTCCTGACAAGGTGGGATATAAGAGGAACACCGTAGCGGTTCCCAAGCGGAAACCGGTGGCGTTATCGAATGTTCCCGAGCAGAAGTCGGATAGGGAGAACAAGAGGCCTGTTCCCAAGCCACCTCTACCCAGACGGAAGCCAATATATCAACCCCAGGCGGAGGGGGCTAGGTCGGATGAGTTACTTGTGGTCGAAGCTCCATACGATTCGGGGCCAAACAGCCCTGTGGTAGACCTAACTCCTGAAGGAACATCAGCAACCGAGTCGAGCACCAAAGGGTACAGCTCATCAACGAAATTAGCCGAGCCGACTGCCAGTCGCGATAGTGGGGATGGTGAAGGCGAGCTCGAGCCGGTAGAGCAAGGGCCTGCGGCTCCTGATTCGAAGCCCAGACTTGACACGGAGAAACATGGCATGGAAATCCTCTCCGCTACGGACGGAATTATTCCATGAGGAAGAACACATTAGTGACATGCAGCAGAAAGATACGGGGATCATAATAACGGAGTGATGTCGCATTTACCCTTGGCAATGCATAACGGAAGCTCTGCAGTGCAGGGCGGTCTCTACAGGAACGGGCGTTTTCATATGGACAGGGAGGCGTGAACTGAGTCCGGTGCCGTGGTGCAGGATGATGGCTCCCTTCCTTGGCTTCTCACCCATGGTATACCCTCTCAGCTGGTTCTTGAGCGTGCTTGACAGTGTCTGGCGTCGATTGCGATCTGGTGTCAAACTCCCCATTCTAGTCGTATATTTATTTGGTTTTTGATTGCTTGATAGATGGATGGTTTCTTTGTAATTCAGAGCAGAACATTTCCTCAATCATCTTTTATTGTAGGCAGTCGCAGTAGCAGTAGCAGTACAGTGTAGCCTGTTGGTGGCCAATTGGGCAGGGTTGAATGATTGGGCGACAAAATCGCTGCCTAGGTGAGATCCGGTGGATAGCGAACCCTTTCTTTTATTTGCAGTAGATCCAGGAGGGTGACGAGTCCCTGTGAGGAACGGGCGGCGGTGCCAAGAACCGGCCGCGGTGGCAGTTTCCCTTTCGGACGTCATCTCGCCTTTGCTTCTCTCTGCCTGTTGCTATTTCAGTCCACCTGCCTTTTATTCCCCTCACTCTCTCTCCCTCTAGTTCTCCTGCTCTCTTTTTT